TCTGTTTTTGATATTGTCTATTGACTTCCTTCTCTGATAGAAGAGGATTAATCTCCCTCACCACCCTTCCTTCCTGTTCTTACCATCACAATACAATTATTACTATTTTTAGTTTCTGTGTAAGAGATCTTCGATCTTTGTTTGTGTAATGTGTACTTTATTTGAGACAATGAAGATAAATGTGAGTCCACCTAGATATTTTATAATTGCCCCTTTGCACTCTATCCTTCTTCTGTATTTACCAAAAGGAAAAAAGGGAGGAGTCCTGATTTTGCAGTGTTTCCCCATCTCCTTATGCTGACCACCCTGGTCTGGCTAGCCTGTATGAGAATGGTAGGCATGCGTGTATATGTGTATGTCGTGTGTATCTGTGGGTGTGCATATTTACAAGTTTACACAAGCAATTGTGTACCCAGGGCAAAGATTCGTATGTATTTCGGACTTTTTGCGTGTGAGAAGAGATAGTAAGGGTCGACCTGGAGTAATCAAAAGCCTGAACTTGTCCATACTCCGTGTAATTATTCTTCAGTTTAAACACTGTTCCTTTACCTTGATGGACACGCATTCTCAGCATTTGCAATCACTGGTTTTTGTAGCAGTGTCTAACTTAAATTCTGACCTTAAAGGTTCTGTTTATTTTTTAAAAGACTTTTTTTAGAACAGCAATTTTAGGTTTGTAGCAAAATCAAAGCGCAAGGAGTTGGTACATAACTTCAGCCTTCACAGGGTACACAGCCTTCCTTCCTATGAGCATCCTATGCCAGTGTGGGGACTTTGTTGCAGTCCAGGAACCTACTTCAGTTTTAGCTAAATTGGGTAGAGGACTGCAGTTGCTGGATCATCCTATGAGTGTATTTGAGTTTTGTAGGGATTTACTAAAATACCTTTCGAGGTGGCTGTATCAAGGATTGTGTATGCTCTGCGTCTAGTATTTCTTTTTCATATGTAATTTCCAATCATTATTATCTGGAGAGATGCCTCAGTTATTAAGAATATTCACTGTTCCTTCAGAGGAACCCAGATTCAGTTCCTAGCACCAACATAGTGGCTCACAACCCATCTGTAACTCCAGTCCCAGGGGATCCTACATTCTCTTCTGACTTCCACAGGCACCAGGCATGCACATGGTATATACACATATATGTAG